GATTAATGGATCATTTTTCTTATTTGGAAAATTTTCGTAGCTGCAGACGATTCGAATTTTTTCTTTTTTCTTTTCTTTTTTTTTTTGCTACCGTTTCTGCTGCTCCTGCTCCTGTCTACTACCACCCCCATTTCCTCCTCCCTCTCCCCCGTCGAGGTGTTAGTTACTTCCGTTTTAATGGTAACGAATGTGGGTTATCCGGTTGGTTGAATGTCAATGCTTTTCTACCTTTCCCCCTGTTTATGATAATTCGTCGAGTTGTGTATTAAGCAAACGAGTTTATTTCATAATGTTTTTATTTTGTGCAAATGCGGCCGATCAGCCTACATATTACCTAGTGACACTGTGAGGCGCCAATAAATAAAGCAGAACAGGACAAAATAAAAAAAACTTGTCGCGAAGAAGTCGGTAGCCACGTTGTGTATGTGTGTGTGTGTCTTACTTTCTAAAAATCATTTTGACACCGCGGCGTTATTATTATTATTATCATTATCATTATCATCATCGTGACGACGATCGACTCGCGTCGTGTGAAATCTTGTCGCTGTCGAATTTTATGTGGTAGTTTAGGAAAAATCAGTTGGTGACACGATATCGTCACGCCGCGATGAATAAGAAGGAGGAGGAGGTTCGGTGCTTTTCCCCTTCCCTCTCTCCATCACCCACTTCCCCCTATCCCCCCGCTCGATTTTTCGACGCGTTTCCTTCATCAGGTTTATTTAGGTCATGTACGTCGTCGTGTCGCCGTCGCGTAGCCTCGATTATTGCTATAATTTCGAGGAAAAGAAAAAAAAAATACCGGGTCCCCCTTGAGAAAATATTAATATTAATAATAATAATAATAATTTAAAATTTTAAAAAACGTTGAATTATTATCATTATTATTATTTTAGGCGAGGATGAGGGCGATTGGGATTTTTACCGGGGGAGGGGGGGAAGCGGAACGGAACGCGAAGGAGGTTTTATGTATAAATAATGAATGGAAATACTTGAACGCGCATTTTTCGTCACGTGATTTTCGATTCGACGACTCGAACGTACTCTTTTGACGTCGTCGTCATTCCTGTACGATTTGAACCTGAAAATGTGACGACACGACCGACGGTTCTGAACTTTTTTTTCTGTTTATTTTCCGACCTTCGAAATTTCTCTCTCTCTCTCTCTTTCTCTCTCTCTCTCTTTCTCTCTCTCTCTCTCTTTCTCTCTCTCTCTCTCTTTCATTCCTAACATTTCACTACGAAAGTCATTAATACGCGGAGTTCATTAATACGGAGTTGATTAACGAAATTTGATTTTAATCGAACCTGTTTGTTATTCGAACCTGTTTTTATTGGAGAGTGAGAGAGAGAGAGATAGAGATAATATTCTTGGAATTATAAATTTTGTCCACGAATTAATTACGTGCGTGATGGAAAAGTATCACGCAAAACGTCATCAATGGCGGATTTTTTTTTACGGATTAAACGGCGGAAGGGGAGGTAGGGGAGAAAAAAAAAGGGAGAAAATTGTGGAGGTAGAATTATGGGGGGGCCGGAGAGAGGTAAGGAAGGTGGTTTTTTTTTATTAAAGTGGACCGCTTGAATTTTTGTTTTAATGTAAAAATTTGGCGGGAAGACAGGCGAGGATGTGAGGAGGTATCGGTGGCGGATGAAAGTAAAAGGGAAAAGGTACGCGAACGGTTTTTTTTCGGGGGAGGGGGAGGGGGTAAAAACGTTCAAAACAATAAATCTTTTCGTTTATATTATAATCACATGATTAGTTGTTGTTGTTGTTGTTGTTGTTGACTCCCACTAATACGAATTTTTTTTTTCTAACCCCCCACCACTTCACCACACTTCCTCCCTCATTAACCCCCCACATTATTTTTTTTTCACGCCCTCTTCTCTCTTTCTCTCTCTTCCTACCTCTTTAATTAGCGTCGCCATTTTGTTTTTTTTTTTTTTGTTTATTAAAATGATTATAAATGCGTTCGTGTGCGTGAGTGAGAAAAAAAAAATTTATTATTAATTAAAATTAAAATAATAATGATAATAATTACAAAGAAAATGATTGATTGATTGATTGATTGATTGAATTGATTGATCGATTGTGTTACCGCATAATTTCTATTGAATGATTTCTTTTAAAAAAAAAATTAGATGGTAAAATTGTTGCGGAAGAAAGAATGAAGGAGGAGAATGAGGAGAGGGGGCAGGGAGAGGAGGGAGGGGAAACGCGATGTGGAAATTTTCTTTTTTTTCCCGACGTGGCACCACCACCGCTACCACCGCCGCCAACTTTATTTAAATCGTTACGTTAATTAATTAATTTTTTTTTTTTTTTTATCAAGTTGGTAGAATTTTTTTTTTTTTTAGAGCGAGTTTTTATGAAAAAATGTTGTAATTCCCTTTTCCTTTTTCTAATTTTTCTATTTTTTTTTTTTTTTTCGATTATTGTCGCGTATTTAGAATTCGTTTAAATTTTTTTTTTATTATATATCCATTTATAAATTCTTTCCTTTGAAAATGTCAGTTTTTTTTTTTTTTCCTTTGTCTCGTATCGGTTTTAAATTTTTTGGGGGCGATCAGAAAATGGATCAACGAAACCATTCAAACCAAAAATTTGACCTTTTTTCCCTTTTTTTCTTTTATTATTATTATTATTATTATTATTAAAAAAAATTATGCATCAACCCTTCGAAAAATAGGGGGAGAGGACGAGGGGCAAAGAGGAGGGGAAAAGGGAAAAGAAACTTTCAATTTCTAATAGAAAGAAAAGAAAAAAAAAAAAAAAAGAAAACTACCCTCTAATTTAAATAAATTTTTTTGATGAAGGTTGTTTTATATAAAGAAAATATTGAATAGAAAGAGAGAGAGATAGAGAAAAAGAAAGAGAGGGAAAGAGATGGAGAGAGAGAGAGAGACGTAAATCATTCATTCATCTCAACCATAAATTTTGATTTTTTTTTTTTTTTTTTTTTTTTTTTTACGGTTGCCAGAAGTGAAAGTCATTTGAATTTTTTTTTTTTTTAACTCTTACCAAAAAACGACCCTCTTTCCTTTTTTTCCCTTCCCCCTTTTCTTCCCCTTTACCCCCTCTCCTTTCCTTTCTTGGCAAATTGAAACCGAACCAACAATACCCATCGAGAGGGTATGATATATATAGACGAGACTCAAAAAGACTTTTAAAGTAACAAAACGACTGGTCAACAAAAGAAAAAAAAAAAAATTAAATTGAACACCTGTCCCCCGAGGGGGGAGAGTGAAATACTTTGACCCTGAATAATAATAATAATAATAATAATAATAATAATAATAATAATAATAATAATAATAATAATAATAATAATAATAATAATAATAATAATAATAATAATAATAATAATATTAATAATAATAACTTAGTTTCAACCCCCTTTTGTCAAAATTGAATTTCGTTTTTTAAAAAAAAATCGAATTAAAAAATTATTCAAGTCGTTGTGTTGTCGTTATCCATCATATTTTCATCATCATCATCATCATCATCATCATCATCATCATCATCATTATTATCATCATCATTATTATTTCATGATATTAAAATATCTGGGGACCGTTGAGATCGGGAGAAAAAATGGGGAGATTTATCGAATTGAATTATGACTCCCCAAAAAATAAAATTTCTTCCCTCCTTCTTTTCTCCTTCCCCTCCCTCCCTCCTCCCCCTCTCTTAATTTTTCGTCACTTTGGGGCATTAGAAATCGTTTGAATGATTTACTACTCCTCCCTCCCACCCCCTCCCCATTTACGAAGGTTTTTAAAATAGGTTTGATTGATTTTAATGTTTGACGATACAAAAAATTTTAAATTTCCCGCCAAATTAATTTGTTAAAAAAAAAAAAAAAATATGGCGGACGAAAAATTTTTTATTTTTACTCTCGCGCTCTTGGGAAGATAGGAAGGAAGGGGTAGGGAGGGGGGAAGACGGTGGAAAAGAAATTAAGGATTGTAATAAGTTGAAAGAAGAAGAGATAATGTGACGTCACGGTATATTGATGATGGGTATGAAAATAAAGCAACAAAAGCAACAGCAGGATGGGGAGGAGGGGAGAAAGGGGAGGGAAGAAGGTAGAGGTAGGGAAGGGGAAAAAGAAATACAATCTCATGTAAACGATTAAACTAAACAAAAAATTTCTTTTTTTTTCTTCTTCTTCTCTTCCTCCCCCCCCTCCTCTCTCGAAAGATCGATAAAACAATCTTTTTGTTGTATATACAAGTAAGTATAAAAAAAGGAGAGAAAAGGAAAAGACGTGGAAGGAAGGAAGGAAAATCATTTTTCAAAAATGTCGAACGATCGATTCTTAAACGTAATTTCCATGAAGTAAAAAAAAAAAAAAAAGAGACAGACAGAGAGAAAAAGGGAGAGAGAGAGAGAAGAAGGGGAAAGAGCAAAATTAAAAAAAAAGTAAAAAAAGGAGGAAAAAAAAAAAAGAATAAAGAAAGAAAAAATGGAGGGCAAAAATGGTTTTTAATAATAAGTGGTGGTGGATGAAGAATAAAAAAAGTTTTCCCCGGAAAAGTGGGAGTAGAAAGCTGGAGGAAAAAAAAAAAACAGAAAAAAAAGCCGAATCATTTTTGGGTGGTTGTAATAAATCACCAAAGACGATTAACACATCAACAACCCCCCACCACCGCCCCCTCCCACCACTTTGGACCGATCTTTCCTTCCTTCCTTCCTTTTTTTTATTATTTTTCTTCTTCCACTTTTCCCATTTCTCACACGCTTCTTTTTTTTTTTTTTTTTTGTTCTTCTAACACTTTCTTTTTTTTTTTTTTTTTACTCATTTAATAATTATGAATTTTCGATTAGAAAGAAAAAAAAAACAAATTTCTTCTTCCACGTTTCCGCTTTTCATCTTCCCTTTTCTTCTATCATTTCATCCTCCCCTCCCTCACCACAACCATTTCCACCATTTTCTTATTTTAAAAAAACCTAAACAAACAAAATTTATAATTTTTTATGTATTCGTTTTGGTAAAAAAAATGAACGTGGCAGTAGATTTTATTTAACTTTGTTTTGTTTTGTTTTTTTTTTTTAATTTCAGAATTCCATTCGACATAATTTATCGTTGCACAATAGGTTTATGAGGGTACAGAACGAAGGTACGGGTAAATCCTCTTGGTGGATGATAAATCCCGATGCGAAACCTGGAAAATCATCCAGACGTAGAGCGACGTCGATGGAAACGTCGAAATTTGAAAAAAGGAGGGGAAGAGTTAAAAAAAAAGTCGAAACGCTTAGAAACGGTTTGATACCCGGTACGTATACTCCACGTGTGACACACGCGTTTTGACACGTAGCGGTAGTGGTAGCACCTCTTATTTAGGTACCTTATTTAATAATAAGACACGTAGTTAGGTAGGTAGGTAGATAAGAAGTGCGTACCTACCTTTCATTAGTTAAAAATAATAATACCCTTGAATGAAAAATCGATATTTAATTTATTATTATTATTATTTAATTAAGACGTCATTGCCAAATATGGCGGCGGCGGCGGCGACGGTGGCGACGGCGGTGGTTATTTTGTAAATCACCCTCGGGGTATTATTTGAAAAAATGATTTTTTGACAGGAAGTTTGCCGCCAAAATTTAAAAACTATTTTTTACCATTCACTTCTTATCAATTTGTAATCATCGTCGTATTAATATTGATTACGTTAATTTTGAAAAAAAAATAACCGAGAATGAATTTATTATCATTATTATTATTATCATTATTATTATTATCATTATTATGGTTGTATTTTTCAGCGGATGCAACACCCAGTCCTAGTTCGTCTGTATCCGAAGGTTTGGACATGTTTCCAGATTCTCCGCTTCACTCAAACAACACAGGGTTCCAGCTTAGTCCAGATTTTAGGCCGAGAGCATCATCAAATGCCAGTTCTTGCGGACGATTGTCACCGATACCATATTCCGAATCGGAATGGAACGGTTCGACATCTTATCCAAGCGGTAAGAATTTTCCATTATCCCTGGGGAAAACCCTTCGGAAAATAAAGAAAATTAATTTTTTTTTTTTTTTTAATCATTGCACGACAGGTTACGTTTCCGAACAGTTGGCCGGAAACCTCGCGGAAGGTATGAAACTTCACCACGAAGCATTCATAACGGGAGGTTTTAACAATACCGGAGGACCCCCTCCCCCTCCGCCACCCTATCAATCCACGTTCGATAATTTCGGTTCGAGGATAAGTCACGGAACTTCACCCTACCACGGTTTATCCCAATGCCCCGTTCACTGTGTTCAAGGATGTAGTTGTGGATTATCTCAATGTGCGGGAGAAGTAAGGAAAAAGGGATGATTATCATCATCACTTTTTTTTTTTTTTTTTTTTTTTTTTTACCTTTGATATCGCGAAACGGATTATCGATCATCCGTTAAAATCGTAATTTCCTTTTAGAGTCTTTCACCGGTTGCCGGATTATCACCTTCTTGTCCTCAAAGTCAGTCTTCGCCCGATCAAATGTCGGGGAGTTCGCAGACTCCGTACGTTCGACGTGGTTCGTTAACCGGTCCAAGAGTGAGAAACACACCCTCGACAATGATGGGTCAACTCATGGGAGCATTGAACAACAGCGCCGTATTAGATGATCTTAATTTAAACATAGAAACTTTTCACGGGGGTTTCGACTGCAACGTCGACGAGGTCATTAAACACGAGCTTTCAATGGATGGAAGTTTGGATTTTAATTTTTCACATAATCAGGTTTCCGTGACGTCATTATTTCACTCCACCACCACCTCCCCCACCATTATTATTATTATTATTATTATTTCTAATCCTTTTGTTGTTGTTGTTGTTGTTGTTGCAGACTACGTTAGCAAGTGGTCAAACGGTCGTGACGGATTCGAGTACCGGTCAACCGTCTAGTAATTACTCAACAACGGTTAGTGTGACCGGACCATCTTGGGTGCACTAACGAAAGTTTCAATTTTAATTACCTCCTCTTCCAGTGTTGTAAATTTTTTTTTTTTTTTTTTTATTATTAAAATTTCATTATTATTATTATTATTATATTTCGTCGTCGTCGACGTTGCCACCGTCGTCGTCGTCGTCGTCATCGTCGTCGTCATCGTCGTATCGAAGAACACACAACAATGGTCGATCCTCATTTTTTAACACGAGGTAAGAGATTTTTTTTTTTTAAATTTAAAAACTCGCGAAAAATTTTCCCGCCAATTATTAATAATAATAATAATAATAAGCCTGGGAAAATTTAGAATGAGAAAATGTTCGTTCACACACGTGATGATCGCGTGTATAAAATGCCAAATCCAGAATTTTTAATTTTCCTTTATTTCCTTTTTTTTTTTCCATTTTTTGTTTATTCCCTTCCCGTTAATTTTTTTTAAGTTTAATAATCATCATCATCATCGTCGTCGTCGTCGTCGTCGTCGTCACATTTAATACAGAGATTTAAAAGGGAGAGAAAGAGAGAGAGAGGGAGAGGGAGAGGAAAGGATGATGGAGAAGATCAAAACGCTGGAGAAATTTTTTTTATTGAAAAAGCAACGCGGAGTTAGAAAAAAAGAAAAGAGGGAAAAGCGAAAGAATTTTTTCCGGTTTTCTTCTCCAGTTTTCCAAAAAGATTTTCCTATCGTTAATTTGTTACGTACGAACAAACGCAAAATCATCGATGATGATGATGATGATGATGATGATGATCAGGAACGCGTAATCCTCCAGAAAAATTTTTTATCACGTTTTTCCTTTTGTGACTTCGTAAAAACCATTTCCTTATTATTATTATTATTATTATTATTATTATTATTATTAATGCACCTTCCGGTGTATTTACCGAAATTCCAGTTTGTCCGGTTTTTGGAATTTTCCTCTCTCTCTCTCTCTCTCTCTCTCTAATCATCAATTTTTTCTGTCGATATTTTCTTGACGAAAATGGTAAGGGAAGTAACGGTTAACCGGAAGGAGATAACTTGATTATTATTTTTCCTCCGACTCCGAACGAAACGCGACAAATAATTTACGTAAATTGACGGGAGACACGCACAAAAAAAAAAGGAAAAAAGGATGGAAAAAAAAGGAAAAAATTAAAAGAAATTTCATTTTGAAAAGAAGAAGGAGGAGAAGAAGAGAGCGTGAGTGTGCGTGTGCGTGTGACTGGCAAGAATAAAAAAAAGATTAAAGAAGAAAAAAGAAAGGAAAGGAAAAGAGAGAGAGAGAGAGAAAGAAAATTGACGCTGGAGAAAGGGAAGTGAGAAAAAGGAAAAAAAAAAGGAAAAAAAATGATTTAGGTTATGGTAATTAAGTTTTTAAACGTGAAGAGACGTAAATGAAATCAATTTCCGGTTTTTTTTTTTTTTTGGGAAAATTTAATTCCGAAAGAATAAAAATGAAGAAAAGAAAAGAAAAGAAAATAATAATAATATATACACACGTACATAAAAAGGATAACAAAGGAAAGAAAAAAAAAAGGAAAAAAAAAAGGAACGAAATAAGGAAAGAAGGAAGTAAGGAAGGAAGGAAGGAAAATAATGATAATAAAGTGAGTGGCACCTCCCTGTGACTCTCTCATCCCCCCCCTTCCTTCCTCCCTTTCCTCCTCACCACCATCATCATCTCCCATTTGAATCCCGTCGGGATTTCCCTCCCTCCCTTTCTGTACTGTTGTCACTTTAACCGTCATTTTAATAATATTATTATCATTATCAACGTTGCGCGAACGTCGTCTGCTGCATTCGTCATTTTTTTTTTTTTTTTTTACTCGCTTATTTCTTTTCGCCCTTCGCTTTTTTTTTTTTTTTTTACTTTACTTTACTTTACTTTTAAAAAAAAATCTTAAAACGTTTAATTTTAAAAAACTAAAAGGAAAAAAAAAAAGGAAAAATCTTTGGCATCCCAAAGGAAACGACGAAAAGACTGTGGAATGGAAATTATTGGATGACGAAATAAACACGGCGATCTGTTGTGAGTGTGTGTGTGTGCGCGTGTGAGATGACTGAGTGAGTGACTGACTGACTGACCGTTTGTTTGTCTTCTGCTAAAAAATTGTTTTTTTTTTTGTCTTCTGCTTTTTTGTTTATTTATTTTTTTTTTGATGACGTTAACCGTTCACCGTTCGCCGTCGCGAACAGCATATCGAGATTGAATAAATTTTACGGACGATTATTATAACCGATGAATATTTCCGAAAGGATTTCGAGATGTTTTCCAGAAAAAGGAAAGAAAAGGAAAGAAAAAATAAAAGGAAATAATTAATAATATACTTGGGAAATAAATAAATAAATTCCATCGTTATAATTTTCTTTTTTTATTTTTAAAACACCTAAAACAAGGAAGAAAGAAAATTTTTTTTAGAAAAATAAAAAATAAAAAGACTAGGACAACATATTTGATAAATACATGATTGTGTTGTCTTTTTAAAAAAAAAAAAAAATCTTCAAAGGAGGAAAAAACTGATGGAACTGCCAATTATTCAATGTTAAATTGGCATCTCGTATATACAATGTTGAGATGGTGGCGGTGTATCACTTTTTACTCTTTCTATTGACACGACGAGTATAGTCAGCGTCACCTTAATAACCTTTTTTTTAACCTCATTTAAAAGAAAAGAAAAAAAAGGAAGAAAAAAAATTCATTTTTCATCGTCGACGTGCCTGCCTACTGCCCATCAGTTTCTCTCTCTCTCTCTCTCTCTCTCTCTGTCGTAAAAGGTTCATCGAACGTGCCTAAACTTGAACCTAAAAAAGAAAGAAAGAAATTTTTTTTTTTTTTTTTTTAAATTTGTAAATAAAAAATTATTTTATATTTTCTGAAGCCACGTACAATTTTTTTTTTTTTTTTTTTCAATCTCATCAAAAAGAATAAAAAAGAAAAAATCATAAACGATTTCAATAAAAAAAGGAAGAAAAAAAAAGGAAAAAAAAGTTGAATTATGAAAAAGGTGAAACCTTATCTGGTATTTGAATGAAAAAAAAAGAAAAGAAAAGAAAAGAAAGAGAAAAAGAAAAGACGAAGACGAAAAAGAAAAAGGAGAAGAAGAAAAAAAAAAGAAGTTGTCTGAATGGGAAGAATGGGAGTACACGAAGCCAAGAAAAGTAGAAAGAAAAGAAAACGCGCGGAGAGAGGAAGAGAGAAGGGGAGGGAGAGAGAGAGGGAAAAAGTGGGTGGTTGGGTGAGTCTGGCGCCACGTTATTGGCGCCACCTCGTTACACGTTACACATCAGCTTTTCTCTAACTTTCACTCTGTGTCGAATTTTCTTTTTCGTCAGAACTTTTTTTTTTTTTTTCAATTTTCCAGTTTTTCTCAAATGAAAATAATAATAATAATAATAATAATTCGTATGTTCTTTAATTTTGACTTTAACGACAATGTTGGTTGTGGTACCAACACACTCTCTCTCTTTTAATTAAATTTGGCGGGAAATTTAAATTTTTCCCATTATTTTTTTTTCCGACGGTGAGGGAAGGGGATTTTTCGTTCCAAATAATGATGATGATAATTAAAAATTTTTCTTTTTGTTTCAGGAATGACGTCACAGGAAGTGAAAACACGATGATCGGAAAATGGAGAAGAAAAATTATTCAACACGACGAATCAATTTTTTTTTCTCTCTCTCTCTCTTTCTTTCATCTCGCGTTTGAACAAACTTCCTCTCGTTTCGTTCCCGAACTCACCGCGATAATAATAATAATAATAATAATAATAATAATGATAATAATAATTACGTAATAAATTTATACATAAATACATAAACACATATACATAGTATATGAGTGAGAATAAAATAAAAACAAATTCAATCAATCAGTCAATCAATCATGAAACAAATCGTCGCTACGTGCCATAAAGATGAAGTACAATAATAATAATAATAATAATAATTTAAATATAAAGAAAAAACAAAGTCATAGAGAAATAAATTCAAAAAAAAAAAAAAAGAAAAAAAAATTGTAAGAGAAACGTACCGGAAACGGAAGAAAGTTTTAATTTTTTTTTTTTTTTTTTTTTTATAGTAAAAATTTTTAAAAAAAATTAACGAATTTTTCACGAAATGTAAATTTTTTAAAAAATTTCATAATTTAATAATTTAAATTTAAATTTAAATTAAATAAAAAAGAAAGAAAGAAAATGGACGACGTGACGTAACAAAAATTCGAATGAGAGAAAAAAACGTTTTTGATTAGTTTTGTTTTTTCCCGCGCGAGCGCGCTGTTTTTACTAATGAATGAAATGAAAATATTTTCATTAAAATAATTTTTTTTTTTTTTTTTATAAGGACGAAGAAGCTACAAGTTGTAGCTTTTTATCATTTATTATTATTATTATCATTATTATCATCATCATTATTATTATTATTATTTAATTAACGTATTTAATAATAGTAAAAAAAAAAAAATGGATGATTTCCGAAACGATTCTCCGAAATAAGGGAAATAAATATATATATTTAAATAAATATATATTATATATATTAATAATAATATATATAATATATATTATATTATATATAAATAAATAAATATATATATTGTGGTGGAGAAACGACGGGAGAGAGAGAGAGAGAGAGTGTGTGTGTTCGTGAGTGCGAGTAAGAGAATATGAGTGAACGAACGTTAATAAATTTTTTTTTTTTATCTCTCTCTCTCTCTCTCACTCATTTTCTCCCTTTAATTTTTTTTTTCTGTCTCTCATTCGATGATTGTTAAAATGGCGTCGTCGTCGTCGTCTTCATTTCGTCGTACGGATTTGAATTATAGGAATTATATAGTAAAAAAAAAACAAAACAAAACAACAGTAATAATAATAATAATGATAATGATAACGATAATAAAAAGAAAAAAAATTTTTAAATAAATTAAAAAATAAAATAAAAAATTAGTAAAAATTTAAACGACAACCCTAAAACACTTATTATTATTATTATTTTTTTTTTCTGTTTCCTCCTCCTCTTTCTTTAAATTTTTATTCCTTTTTATTGTGTGTGTCGTGATCGACTTCCGGTCGTTACGTCATACGTTAAACCGCCGATAATAAATAAATAAGTAGAAAATAATTTTTTTAAAATTAACGGTTTTCGAACGCGTCGAATTTTTTCTTATCTCTTCTTGTTCGTACCCCTTCCCCCTCCCACTCTCACTCACTCATTGTTTTCCCCTACCCGCTTTATTTTTTACCCCCTCCCCTCATTTTTTTAATTGTTTCTTGTCTTCCCCCCTCCACTCATTTATTTTTATTCACACACTCACACCACAAAAACTCTCCCAAATTCGGCAACAATGTTAAACGTCGCGAAACGATTGTTGTAAGTGGAAGGGGGAGGAGCAACAATGAAAATTTCGTTTTAATTATAATATTAAAGTTGGCAAACCTGTCAGTCGTGAAAATGATTTCGTACGCGACGGGTATCGTAACGGTTTTTATATATCTTCCATTAGTTAATAATCTGTTAATAAAGTTATTCTTACCGTTAAAAAATTTTTTTCTTTTAAATTATGAAATTAAATTAAATTAATTTATTAAAATAATTTTTTTATATATTTTAAATATTTTAAAGTGATAATAATAATGATGATGATGATGATGATGATGTTACGGGTAAATAATTTTTTTTTATCGTTTTTAAATGCTATTGTGAAAAATTTATTCTCGGAATTTTTTTTTTTTTTACTTTTTTTTTTATTTATTATTACATTTTATTTAACTTCCGGTAAATTGAATTTTCGAACTCTTTAGGGAACATAAGAAAGTAAAAAAAAAAAAAAAAAAAAAAAAAAAAAAAGAAAAAATGTCGCAAATAAAAAAAAAAAAAGAAAAAAGGAAAAAAAATTAAAGTTAATTTATTCTCTCAGAGACTTGCTGTCAGTTATTTTTTTAATTCTGTTGAAATTCATGACGCATTGTTTTTCCTCCATCTTTTTTTTTTTTTTTATATTTTTCACTTTCATTTTTATTTAAAAAAAAAAAAAAAAAAAAATTTTATATCGTTCCATACCGATCTTATACATTGACCGTTTATCCGTTTTTCTTAACGTTTTTCGACGATTTATAACGAATTAAACGCGTTCGTCACAATTCGAAAAATGTTAAATAATAATAATATTAATAATAATAGTTTTCGTTCGTTACGAAAATCAAAAAAAAAATTTGAAACAAAATTTTTAACGGACTCCGCCATAATTGCCAACGTTGACGAAAATTTATTTTTTTAATTTCCGAATCGACCGATAGATGGCAAACCCATCGATAAACGTTACGTAATAAAATGACAACGTTAAAACAATTTTTTCGTTGGTTACAAAATTTTACCAATAGATGTCGCAACGATCGCATTTATTCAATCGGGTAAGATTTTAAAAAAATTTTTATTTATTTATTAAAACCGTTAAATTTATTAATTATTTTGAAAAATAATATTTTATTTAATTTTCCGCGACGTAATGAACCAATAAAATAATAATAATAATAGTAATAAAAATATTTAATAAGAATCAAGCTAAAAAAATTCCGTTATAATATAATATAACAGGTCCGAATGATAAATAAATAAATAAAAATGGCGGACGAATGAAAAATATTAATTAAACGTTTGCTTAATTTATACCAACGGAAAATTTATAGTAATCGATAAGAAGAAAAAGAAGAAGAAGAAGAAAAATATTTATTTATTAATCCACGGTTAATTTCAAAGGATTAAATTGAAAAAAAAAAAAAAGGAAGTTGATGGAAGGTGTTGTGTTTGTAAAATAAAAAAAAAAAAAAAAACGTGGTAGAAGACAAATAAATAAACGTTGAATAAAAATAAAGGGAAGAAAGAAAGATGAAATATATATAAAAAAAGAGGAAAAGTTATAGAAACGGGACAAACGGGCCGAACGGGGGTGCGTGAACGTCAAAGCGCAACAGGCGATTCCAAGGCCCGCTCGGGAAAATTCATTTTTAGCTAAAAAAAAAAAGAAAAGAAAGAAAAAAAATTTTTTTTTTCCCACTTCGGTTGTTGCTTTGTGTTTGTGTTTGTTATTATTATTGTTATTCACGTAGTGTTTAATTGTAGTGATATAATAATAATAATATTTGATAAGGTAAGGGAAATCGTTCGTTTGTTTGTTTGTTTGTTTTCTCATCGCACATTCACACACACACACAATATAAAAAATTTCTCCAGTAAAAATGGCTCCGCATTTTTATCCTTACTGGAGAAATTTTTTTTTTGTGTGTGCGTTAACATTGATTGTTATTTTATAAACAAACAATTGTTTTAATCGATTCGTTTGTCGTTTGTTTCCCTTTTGAAAAAAAAAATCCATAGATAAAGGAAGAAAAATTATTTAAAAAAAAAAAAAAACTTTTGCGATTCCATATGTTACGTTTGTTGTTATCATTTTCGAAAATAATTTTATCCCATGATTGTTAAATAATGAACAAACGAACAAACAGACACAAGACAAACGGAACAAACAGACAAACGATTTTTTATTTTGTCAAAATTATTTAAAAAAATTTATTATTAATTTTAATTTTTTGATTGATTGATGGATTGAACAACCGTTTGTTGGGGTTTTTTGGTTTGTTTGTACGAAAACGCGTTTTTGTAGATTAATTAATTAATTAAACAAAATTTGATAATCTCATCGGGATTAATTCGATTTAATCCCTATCACGGATAATCTCTCATTTTTCGTTAATCTTTATTGTTTAAAAATTTTTTTTTTTATGTCTATGTACCTGAAAAAGGTAAAATGTTTGTTTCCCCGTTGTGGTTGCTGTTGTTGTTGTTGTTTGTATGATTATCGTTTAATTTTCTTATTAATTAATGAATCGAAGACATTTTCTTTTAAATAATGTTATCGAATAGTTTATGGGTTTTGTTGTGCATTTAAAACAAAATGGCGGCGGGTATCATCGTTTTAATCTAATTTAATTTTTTTTTTGTTTGTCGATCGGTTATTTATATCGTACTCATTTAAAATTCGTTTTTTATTCTTTAAACAATTAATTAATATATTTTTAATTATTATTTATTTAATTATTTTATAAAAATAAATAAGTGAGAACGAGAGTAAAAAAATAAAAAGTAATCGATAAACAAATGAAATTTCAACAATAAAAAAAGTTTATATTTTCTAATTAAAATTTACACCGCTAGGAGCGTTTTAATCGCTCGTATATATATAAAATAATGTAATCAGCGCATTCTGGCGGTCGATTGAATAAATAAAAATAAAAAAAAATTAAAATTTAAGGGTTTTTTTTTTATATATATATTTTTTACAATTTGAAATTTTTCTCCCGTGAAATTGACTAAAAGATTTCATTTTTTTCGGGGGGGTGGGGTGGGGTGAGGAGGGAGGGGAGGAAGGGAAGAAGGTTTATTATTTGTAAACTGACTCGAAAAAGTAGGTTTAATTAGTTTTTTTTTTTTTTTTCAAATCTTCTTCTACTTCCTCCTTATTATAAATATGGGAAAATGTTTTTTTTTTTATTTTCCTTTCGAGTTTAACGAAATGAAAATTTTCTTTCTTTTCTTGTGTGTAAATATTTTCTTCAGTAGCAGAAGAAAATTTTTTTTTTTTTTTCTGAAGTAAAACTTAAAACGAGTAAGAAAATTTAAAAAGAGAAAATTCCGAGGAAAAATATATATTGAATTTTCAAAAGAATTTTAAAAGTTTTCCCAGTTTTTTTTTTTTTTTTTGGTTGTTTCTCCGGTTGTCGCGTTTGTTGTAATTTTGTTTTTCAAGTTCTATTTAAATATAAATACAAACGAAATTGTTTGTACGAAATAAAACAACCCGGAAAAAATTTCAAAAAAATTAATGTTTTGTTTTATTGTTTCAGAAAGAAAGAAATAAAAACATCAAACATTCATCCTTTTTTATTCCTTTTTCACTCCCCTTCTCTCCCCCTTTCTTCCTTTCTTTCTTCTCTCTCTCTCTCTTTCTTCCATATTTTCCATCCTTTTCTTATTATTATGTAATGATAACCGAATGATATAAAAATAAAAAAAAATTTAAATTAAATATCATGGGAAAAAATGATAAAAGAGGATCCGGAATCAAACACGATGGTAAGTCTTTTTTTTTAATTTTTTTAATATTTTACCTTCCCCCCATGCCCCCCCGCAAAAAAAATCCATTCGAACATTCTCGAAAAAAAAAAATGAGTTTGTAAAGATTAAAAGCTGAATCGTTTTCCCGCAAAACAACAACAACATCCCGATTTTCTCTCATTTTTTCTTCCTTTTTCCATCACTTTTCCGCAATTTCGCCCACGTTTTCCATCTCTCTCTCTCTCTCTCTCTTTCTTTCTCTCTTATCGATTTTACTCAAACATCCGACTGTTTGTGTCGTTATTTCACTCTACCGAAAAAAAAAACGAATGGGGTGGTTTAAATTTTTGTTTGTTTTCCTGACACGAAAATCGTTTTTCATTTTGATGACGTCATTTTACAGGAGGCAGCACGAACCTCGTTGGAAAATTCACTCAAAGCGTTAGAAGAATCGTGCAAGATGTTAAAGATGAGGGTACGGCAAGCGGACAAACGAAAGAAGAAGTCATAGAAACAAACGAAAGGTTGAGAATCGTTAGGGGTAGATTGGAGGAAAATTACGACACGGCTAAGAAAGCATTGAATACACTCATGGGAAAATACATGAAATCGAAAACAACGAGAAACGTTTTCCACAGGTATCCACAATTGAAAGCCATGATTAAGGTACGTACGGTCAACAATACAACAACCGACGGCACAATTCCCATACCTTCAAAATAATAATAATAATGATTTTTATATATGCGCAGGAAGTTATAAGATTGGAAACGCAATATTGGGCACTCGTGGAAATACCTAAACAAGAAAAACAAGAAACCGTGCCTGCGTTCGTGTTGAGGGCATGTAGCATAATGGAAAAAACGCAAAAACCCGGCGAAGGTATTAAAACATCGTCGAAAATTGCAGAAGAAGAAGATAAAAGAAAGGAAAGATTAAACAGGTTGGAAGGTATGTGAGCGAGTAAAGAACCGTTTCCGGTTAATAATAATAATAATAATAATAATAAATTTTGTACATTTTCAGACATGACAATAGCACAAATAGAAGCGGAAAATACACAATTGACAAACGATTTGTACAGGTTGTTAAAAAAATATTCAGGTTTAAGGAATCTAATAAGAGCACTTAAGGCGAGTTGAAATATTATCGTTGTGACGTCACATCCGGGTGACGGTGGTGGCGGCGATGATGATGATGATGATGATAATAAAATTTGTTTGTTTGTTTGTTTGTTTGTTTTCAGTCTCAATATGTTAGTTCAAAAGTTTATCCGATATTTCCAAAGTACACGTTCCTCAAGGACATGATCAAAGACATTATGCACGATCCCGATTACATGGAAGTCTGCCACGAAGTCGATCCCGTTTAGCATCCTTACGACTAAATTAATTCATATAATCATTATTATATATATTATTATTTCGGGTTTTCTTTTTATTTTAACAAAATATGACGTCACTGCGAAATAACGATGATAATATTTTATTTATTGGCACGGCCGATCATCACAAAAGTGCTCTCTCGTTTTTTATCGTTTGTTTGTTTGTTTGTTTGTTCGTTGTTGTCGTTGTCTCCCTTTTTCTCTCCCTTTCTTTTATTTTTATTTACTATTATAATACCTGGTGAGAGAAAAAAGGATTGACTGATTGATTGAAAACAATCGAGGGCGGTTATCGAAACGATAAAAAATTAAATAATAATAATAATAATAATGTATTTTAATATTTTAACCGAATTGATTACGTACGTAAGAGGTGAGTCAAAAATAATAATAATAATCTCCTCGTCCTCGTGTTTTTCCTCTTACTTTTACACCCCCACCCTCTCACTACACCCCCGCAACTTCTACCTCCCTGTAATAATAATAATAATAATAATAATAATAATAATAATATTTTATATTAATAATTAAAAATTATTTTATCGTTGAGTAAATTGTTATAACATTAATAATAATTATAATAATAATAATAATAATAGGTATAATGATAATGATAATAAAAAAAAGTTTTCCCTGAATTTAATTATATTTATAATTAATTGAAACGAATATTTATTTATTTATTTATTTATTTACATAAATCATCGATTTAAGGTCCAATAATAATAATAATAATAATAATAACGATCGTATTAATTACCCGTCCATTTTTTTACCTCTCTCTCTCTCACTCTCTCTCTTTCTCTTTTTCATAAATAAATAATTAATAAATAATTTTATTCTACCCTCTGGTAAAAAAAAAAACATTTTTTAAATATTATTATTATCATCATCATTATTATCAACCGACGATGATGATGATGATGATTGAAAGGGTATTTTTTTAATGTAAGCAAATTTTTACCCTTTATCATCTATCCTCCCCCTCACCCTTACATTCACCTTTTGCCTTTTCTCTTATCATTACCTTAATTAATATTAATAATAATAATAATGATAATGATAATGATAACTAATTAATTAAAATTTCGTAAGGAAATAACATTTAATAAAGTTAATATAATTATTATCATCATTATTATTATTATTATCATCTTCCAAATAAAAAATATAAATATATCATATGTACATAATATATTATTATTATTATTAGTTGACAAATGATTTATTTTGATAACGAAAAAAAAATGTCCTCGTGTCTCTTATCAATCGAGTTGATAATAATAATAATAATAATAATAATAATAATTTGAAATTTTTTATTTATTAAATTAAATAATAAAAATTATTAACGAACGTTATTTAAACTTATAATAATAATAATAATAATAAAATAATTTATTTATTTTTATTAATAAAACCGAAACCGAAATAAAAAAACGCGTAATTATTAATAATAATAATAATAATTATCATAAAAATATTTATGTATAAAAAAAAAATGTTTTCGTTATTATTATTATTATTAATAATATACCTGCGCGTGTGTTATATCGAAATAAAAAAAAATCGATATTTAATCGATACTATCGAAAACGCTTTGCAATAACAATGAAATAAATAAATTTAATTAAGGGTGGAATAAAAAAAAAAAATTTTTATTTTTATTTACTCTATGGCTTTGTATATTGTTTATATATATATATATTTTCGCGCGCAAAATAATTAATCTATTTATTTATATTATGTGCTTAACGAAAGAAAAAAAATTAACGAAAATAATAATAATAATAATAATAATAATATTGTGTGATTCGTGCTTGACGGCCTAAATATTTAATATTAATAATAAATAAATAAATAAATAAATAATAATAATAATAATAATAGTAATTTAGTATTGTTAAATGGTGAATAATAATAAACTGCCTGTTGGGACAAAAATATCATTATTATTATTATTATTATTATTATTATTATTATTATTATTATTATTATTATTATTAAACTTATTGTTATTTCATTTGTTAATTTTAATGACGTAAAAAAAAAAAAATTATGATAATAATAATAATTTTAAATAAAAAAAAAAAAATAAGCTTTGTTAAATGAATAAATAAATAAAATATATTAAAAAGGAAAGAGTTTTATTATTATTATTATTATTACTCATATATTTTATTACCGTTATTTTTTATTATTATTATTTAATTACACGTAAACAAATACGTAATTATTTAAATGGAGAGAGAAAAAAACGTACACACGCACACGCACACACACACCTTTTATTAAAATATAATTAACCTTTTGACATCGATAAATTTTTATTAGTTTCTATTTGAAAAAAAAAATAAATAAAACAAAATGTCGGATCGTTCATTTATTTATTATTATTATTATTTAACCGTTTGTTTTATTATTTGAAATATATTTATTGCTTATTTAATATCGTTTGTTTAAAAAATTACGATTTAACAACCGTAACGCGCATATATAAAAAAGTAAATAATCGTAATTCGAAAATTTGAATTTGAAAAAAAAAACCGTTAGAAAACATTCGAAATCGTTCAAAACAGTTTTTTTTTAGTTAATATTTTATCCGCAACGCGTCGCTAGTAAGTGAAATGAATTCATAGCGCTGCATGTCGCGAACGAAGTAACACACACATAAAAGTTCGTTAAACAAAGAAGAAAAAAGAAACAGGTTAGTCGAAAATGTGACGGTTGTAAGTTAAGTTCGTTTGGAGAAAAAAAAAAAAAAAATGCGTGTGTGTCGCGATTTATAAAAAGGGGTGAGATTTATTATAAATAATAATAATAATAATAATAGAATGAAATAAAAGAATTTTTTTTAGTTATACCGGTCGATTTAGTATTATTATTATTATTATTATTATAGAAAAAAAAAGAAGGTTAGTGTTAGTGTAATGTGCGTGATTTTAATAAAAAGGAATCGTGGGATACGAAAATGCCGCTCGTCACGAGAACCATCGAACCAAAATATTTATCACGTAAAAGTTTGTTCGATGAAAATGGTAAAAGTTTAATTAACGATTACGAATTGGAAGCCGTTACGAATAACACGTTAACGAACGTATTGAGACAGTTAGCATCCCTTGTATTGGTCGCGAACGACATTTTCGAAGATCTCGCTCGTCACCTTCAAAATGTCTACGAAAGAAGTTGTAAACTTAAAATTAAAATAAACAACGTTGAAGATAATTTATTGGAATACGATCCGAAAAAAATAACAGTTCGTAAGTAACATGAAAATTTAAAAAAAAAAAAATCTGTCTCTCTCTATCTCTCTCTCTCTCTCGTACGAACGAACGCGTTCGCGTTTTAAAAAAAAAAGTTCGTTAAACGTTGGAACGTTTTTGAAAAAAATTTCGTACCTTGTAATTATGATACGAAACGCCGGTTCTCGTTATTTTCCCCCTTTCCCCTCCCCCTCATTCCCCTTCAACTTCCCTATCCCCCCTCCCCCATCCCGTCGCAAACGATCAAAAAATGCATTTTTAATGAGAGGTATAAAAGACGCCATTTTAACCCGCGAATTTTTAAATTTCGTTCGAATTTTTCTTTCCAACGAATAATTAATTAGTAACGGTTTTTTTTAACGTATTTTTTTTTCTACTTAATTTTAAAAGGTTTGAGTATCATTATTATTATTATTATCACATAATGCGATTTTCTTATTCGGAAAATTTACATTTTTCACCACCACCACCCCCCTCCCCTCCCCTTCTAACCCCCCTAAAAAAAACCACAAACGTCACAAATTTTTTATTTCTTTTCCAAAAAAAAAAAAAAAACAGGTATGAACGTCAGTATTATTATTATTATCGTCATCATCCGCCCACATGCGGAAATAATAATAATAATAATAAAAAGATTTTTAATACCTGAAACGTATTTACATGTTAAAATTCATTTTAGAAATGAGAAAAAAATAATAATTCCGGTTTTTTTTTTTTTTTTGAATAGAAACAAAAGAATGTTCTAGAACGTTTTAAAAAATTTTTTCAGGGACTTTTATTATTATTATTATTATTATTATTATTATTATTAATTTTTTTTTTCGGTTATTTTATTATAGCGACGGATAATGATGATAAATTTAAAATGATTTGTATTAAAATCAATTAATCATTTATTATAATTTAAATAAATTAATAATCGTAAATGATTGAATGATTGATTGACTGACTAACGAATGTAGAATTTTATTTAATGATAATGATGATGATGATGATTATCGTGAAGAAAGCGTAATGACAAAAAAAATCATTTAAAAAAAAAAAAAATTAAAAATGGCGGACGTTTAATAATGATAAGAAAAAACGTTACAAAATTTTTTTTTG